TTCCTGCTTCGGCAGGGTTGGAGCTGGGCAGCTGTCTTTTGGGGCTTTTCTTAATCTGCAGTGCCTTCAGCAACCATCTCTTTGCCCGTCTTGTGGGGCTTTTTTCCTCTTTTAAATCCACACGGTGGGTAACTTTGACTGATTCATTGCTTATTATTTTCAAGCTGGTGCAGCACATTCCAGAAGCAAGTCTGAACTACCAGAAGGTTCCTCCGGGGTCAATGGAACTCAAGGATTTTGATCAAAACATGAATGATAACAGAGAAGAGGATCCTTCAAGGAAAACAAGGACGAGAAATCGAGAGGAGGCAGGGTTTTCTCCTTTAATTACAAGCTGGCAAATAATAGTACTGAGGTTTCAGCCTGTGTATCTGTGTTTTTTAACCTGCCAGAAGCAGTAATTCAATGAACTCAACCACTCCAGAGCCCATGACCTTTTGTAGCCATAGAAATATGATTTAAAGACTCCCTTATGCAGGGAATATAGGACTCGAAGGAGCCTCCTGGGCCATTGAGTCCAGTTCCAAGCACTTGCAAACAGTTTTTTACACAAGGATTCCTCCAGATCAGTGGTTCTCAGCCTTTTTTGTACCAGGACCCATTTGTAAACATCAGTGCCTAGTCCCGACCCACTGCCCCCACACCAGGCCTCAGATCCTTAGTTTGTGGGGCAAGGGGTGGGTGTGTAGAATGGGGCGGGAGTTGTGTGTGGGGCATGGGGGTCCCCAAACAGCCCCTTGCAGGGTGGAGCTCTGCCAATCTGCACGGGAAAAGCCACAGTTTCCCACATTTTTCTCCTTTAAAGGAGAATCCATTTTTAAAGTTTTTTCACCGCCCTTTCATATATTCTTAGGGCTTTTGGGTTGAGACCCATGGGTTGAGAAACATTGCTCCAGATCACTATTCACCATTTCCACACACAGCTTCATGGGCCAAAACCAGCATCACCAAGAATGCCCTACAGCATGCCATCAATAAAAGCAGGGGACACAATAGCATGGGTACAGTCCTGCTGCTGCACTGATAGAGAAGTAATTGGTCTTCGGGATGTGCTTAGAGCAGGGGTTCTCAAACTGGGTTGCAAGCAACCACGCGTGCCACCCGCTTCCACTGCTGTGTGGGTGCGCAGGCAGCCCCTGCCCCCTGCTCATTGATCGGTCACCAGGGGGGTCACAGTATTGCAAAGTTTGAGAACCCCTGGCTTGGAGGATCTTAGGAAGAGAACCGTGTCCCACACTACAGAGGAAGGCAAAAAAAATTCCCTCAGTCCTTGCTACTTTGACCATGGGGGAAGGCTGCGTAAACGTTTGTCTTGTGTGGAATTCTGCTAGGAAAACCTAGAAAGCTCTGGAGTGAGATTTTTAATAGTTATTGCTGATTGTGGGTGACTCATTTTTTGGGTGCCAACTTAACACCATCTAGAGAGGCCTCCTTTTCAGTGCTATGTGAAAACTGGGCCTTTCTCTTTCAAAATACCTTAGACTCAGTACCCACAATAAGTTAATCATTTTTGGAAGTCTTGGCCCTTGTAATGGTTTGGTCCCAGTTACTGTTTGTGACTTGAGATTTTGATTGCTGCCCACGTCATTGAAACTGCTGATGGACCAAGGTACCAGTGAGGGACAGCAGAATCTGGCCCTTCCTACCTAGCTTTTGTGCTAATCTGAATTGTTCTGCTGCTCCCACCTTCTTGTTTTCAGCCGAGTCTTCAGTGAAACATTGCTCCATGTCCTGTCCCCAGCGGTGCTTCCCTGAGGGGTAAAACAATGTGAATGGGACATGCTGGTTGCAGACTTATCTAGGGTTGGCAAGCCAGTCAATTGACTGGTCAAGTATCGTCAACTGACTGCATATTTTTGATCGGTCAAAGATCATAGCAATTTACAAAACAAACTACATTTTTTTTTGTATTTTTCTTTACAGAAGTATGATTTTTAATTGGATTTTTTGCCACATCCTTAATGGACATTTTGTGTGTTTCCTATGTATTATTTGGACCTATTGGCAATTTTTTACAATGTTTGATCAGTGTTTGACTGGTCAATTGACCAGATGTTATTTGATCAATCAAATACCCAACCCTAGACTAATCTGAGGTCATTTGCTTGAGCTGTTGCCCCCAAATACATGGGAACCAGTGATATATAACATGCTTCTTATGTGCTTCTGGCTAGATGTGCTGTGAATGTAGATGGCATAGGCTGATGTAACAAGAATATAAAGCATTTCTTACCGAGGCCACGAATACTGGGTGGTAACCAGACATGATTGTTTCCTAACATAAGGTTGTAGCATTACTTTAACAGCTTTAGTCTCAGAAAACCAACTTGGATTTGATTTATAGTAAAGCTGTAAACTGTTTTGTGTATGGTATTTAGTTGCTTGTTTTGGCGTTTTAAAAGCATGGGAGGTCTTTGGTTTTAGAAAAAGATGCTTACACAGTTCTGAATCCAGAAACAGTTCTGCAGGCCTCTGTTCCTTGACTCCTAAAATAAAATCTTAGCAGATTAGTGCTAATCCTCTCAGGGACTTGCTACAGCAAAGCTGTATTCTCCCTCATCTCCCTTTGAACTTTAAATATAGATGAAGCCTCCCTTGGAATTATGTTCTGTCTAAATAGAATAATTTGTCAAACTGGAATATAAAAACAGTAACTTTGGAGGATATTTTTTCAGTCTGATCTGTTTACCTTTAGGTCATCTTTGACAACCTCATGTTGAACCCAGTGTCGCAATTATCCCATACAATCCGTGAAAATACAGAAAACCTGGCCGAAAAAATGAAGTAAGTATTTCACCTTGGATTTGAAATGTATGTTTGCTGTGGAGTTAGTGTGAGAAACGGGGGGCGTTATTAATTAACTGCTTGTGAAAGACACTCAATTGACATACTTGGGAGGTGTGGTTGTCTGCATACAGAAGGGGAACAGCACAGGGAGTGGAACTAAAATATGGCCATTAACTTTCCACTCTCAATCGATTTGTCCTGTAAGACAGTCTGTGCCTTAATTACCAAAGTCCTAATCTGGCTGCCTAGAATGCTGCCTGAGGAGGTTGGCAAAAAGCCACACGCTTTTCTGTACGTGACTTGACAACTTAGTCCTGGACAACTGATGACACTTTTAAGCGTGGACTGCCTCCAGTGGTACATCTTAACTTTGCTTTAAAGAAGTCTCCCCTGTAGAAAGAGGGGAGTACATTCTCCATTCCATTCAATCTACTGTCCCCTGTTCCAATTTCATTAAGAGTGCAGATCATGAAGAATGGATTTTGGGATGCCTTCTTGGGGTAAGATTGTCAGTCCATAGGTCATAGAACAGCCATCAGGTGGGGAATGGCTTTGGGTTGTTTCTGAGTTGCATTCAAGAGGAAGGTAGATCTACTGGGCCGCTTGGCTGGGTCTTGTGTTTGCTTGATACTGTACACGTGGCTTACTTTACTGGCGTTTTCACAAAATGTGTGATCTTGTGCGCTTCAGAATTCTCTTTCAGAACTCTGAAAGGACTTGGGAGGAGATGGAGGCCAAAATTAACTCTGAAAATGAAGTGCCAATTTTAAAGACCTCAAACAAGGTAAAGGGTTTAACAAAAAAATAAGGGGCTGAGAGACTTGCACAGCACAAGCCTATGGAATTAGGGATTCTCAAAACAGATGTATGCCTTTATCTTAACAAATTTTAATGGTGTTTCAGTGCCAGAGTCTCTTAGACTTTTTTGTCTCAGTTCTTCATCTCAACACCTAGTAAGTGGCACATGATTACCGGGGAGGGGGCATTCATAAGAAACCAAAATGGTGAGCTTTGAAGTCAATCAAAACCTTCCTGGATTGTTAGTCCAGATGTATACCTTGAACTTCTTTCTTCTTTTGTTTTAAGATGTGACTGTTAGTTATCCTTGATGCAGGTGGGACATAGGCTTTTTACCATCATGTTTTTTTCTATAGAGATTGGGTGCCTGTGACAGAGACACCTGGTTTCACTTAATGGGATTCCCCACAGGAATAATGTGAAGCCTTAAGCATAAGCTTAATTTTAAGCATGTAAATAGTCCAGATGATTCAGTGAAACTATTCATGCTTAAAGATGCATGTACATCTTTAAGAGCAGGATCAAAACGTCTGTACTTGCCAACCCCTTTGTATGACTGGGGTTTATATATCTGACCGGCAGCTGGAATCCCAAATAAAATAAGTCTTAACATTTGTATGAGCAGCCTGATAACATTTAGCAAAGTATGGTAGCCCAAACCCAAACAAGCCTTCATACATAGATACAAACTTTATTGTTGTTTGATAATAGAATAACTGAGTTTGAATTTACTTCATTAGAAAAAGGTGAAAAATGTTAAGTATTACATGTAGACTTGTTTCCTGGGTGAAATGAATATTTGGTTAATTAGCTGATCTTCTTGGCTTCTTTCATGTCTAGGAAATCAGTTCTATTCTAAAGGAGTTAAGGAGAGTTCAGAAACAACTTGAAGGTTGGTAATTTCTAATGTTTTCAGTTGGTCTCTTATATGCAAGTGACTTACTAAAATATTCTAAAATCCTTTAACAAGGTTTATTGGTTGGTTAGTCAGTTTAAGCTTTCTAAATGTCAAGTAATCTTATTCAGAGTGTGTACATGTTTGTATATACAGACTAAGTGGTGGGATTTTTTTTCCCCTACTTCAAATGTAAAGAGAAAATTGCTGATTTCTGGTAGTTGGAAATGATTGCTGTGGAAACATTTTATTCAGGTCTGTTGCAATTGCACTACAACATGGAGTAAAAAAAGCTTCTCATCTTTGAAATAGGCAAATGGTTGGCATCACTTCAATCAATATGCCAGATCTTGGAGTGTTAAGCAAGCGTTTGTGTTGGCTTGAATTGTGTATGTAAAACTCCATGCTATAGAGATACAAACGTAATCTTTACTGGAGACATAACAAGAACATGTAAAAATGCCTTGAGTGATGAATGGTTGCACTTTCTTGTAGAGGTTCACCAATAAAAGGAAAATTCACATTATTGGGAATCAGCTGTTTTTCGCTGATGTGGCCGATAATGCTGCCAATAAATGCCCTGCGCGTGCACACAGCCAGGCCTGCATCCCAGCAGCTTAGAGAGCAGTTCCTGGCCATTAAGTCTGTGGAGGAAAAGAGGCCTGAGGGGAGCAGATGAAGACCCTTGTGGTGAGGGAGGGAGTGGGGCTGGGGGAGGTGCTGCCCAGATAGGGTGGGGCAGGATGTGGTAGTGGAGCTGGCGGCTCATCTCGGGGGGTGTGGATCCTGCTGCTTTGCGCATCCCCGGGAAAGGCAAGGATCTGTGCACAGGGCAAAGGCAGACTGCTTGCTGTAGGCTCGAGCGCGGGAGCTGCACTGGGCACTTCCCAGTGGCTGTGCTCAGGCCAAGTGGGTCATATGGCAGCAGCGCGGGGGGGGGGGGGGGGGGGGGGGGGGGGGGGGGCTAGAGTCACCTCCGTAGCCCCCCTCCCAGTGCCACCGCTGCCACCTACCTGGCCCAAGTGCAGCCACTGGGAGAAGTGCAGAGCAGTGCATGTGTGTGCAATAGCAGCCCGCCCTTCCCCTGCACACAGATCCAGGGGGCACATGCCACCCATACCTCCCCCAAGGGTGCACACACTGATGGGAAGCGCCCTCCTGTGCCCCCTGGACATGCTGCTGGCTGTGTCTTGTGCCCTTCCCTGCCCCGGCTGGGCAGCACCTATCCCTGTCCCAGCCCCAGCCTCATTCCCTCCCTTACCACATGGGCCTCGATCTGCTCCCCATGCTCCTTCCATCCCCCATGCCACTTCCCCCCAGCAGACTTACCAGCCAGACATTGATCTCCAAGCTGCCGGGCTGCATATCGGCAACTGGTATCAGCCCAAAAATTCTTTATCGGTGGTAACCTACTTTCTTGTCCCATTTTCCATTTGGTCCAGGGTTAATTATACAGAAAATGGAGTGCTGTGGCTAAATAAGAATCACTTAGTTTTGAAAGTGAGATTTTTTTTCTATTTAAAAACTTTCTTGAATGTTGCTAATCTTTCTCTCTCTTTTCCCCTTTCCACAGTTATAAATGCAGTCATTGACCCCACTGGGAACTTGGACGTGGTTGCAAATAACAAAGCATCCTCTGCTGCTAAACAATCTAGTGCTCCTCTAGGCAGGACTGTTAACATGGCTGGGTCCACGCTGGAGACTTTGTCCCCAGTTCAGATTAGAAACTACACTCAGAAATCGAACTGTGGATCTTCTAGCTTGCAGGATTCTAACTTCATTTCAGATGGAAAGAAATATGTGATCTGACACACTATTTTGTATTGCAGTCCTATTGTAATTTACTGTGGCGTTAGTATTGTGTACGAGTGGTTGTGGACAGTTTTTGTGTGGAGCAGTTGTTTAGATTGCTAACACGTTGCACAAAAAAAAAAGATCTATGCTGTGTGGGTGAATGGCAAGTCTGTGTATGCCTTTTAATCAAGACTAGCACTGTGGAGCAGCACATATTCAGCATAGAGGCAAGCTATGATTTTGAGAAAGCAACTCACTTCAATTCTTCTGACGTGCCATAAAAATAACAGGCTTTGTATATCCTCCATTCACTACTGCTGAAGCTCTAAAGTGTTCTTGCATTAGCCTGTTTATAGCTTTGTTTCTGATCAGTTATAATGAAGCTCTTTGAAAAATATATATACCTTTTTTGGTCAACACTACATTTTTTTAATTGAAACATGGCGCATTACAGTTCTGTAGGAATCAACTTGCATATCTTGCTGTGTGATGATGCAGTACAGTTGGTTTCTGATTTGCTTGTATGGAAAATGTTTTCGGTGTTTTTGCAAAAAGAAAAAAAAAGAAAAAGGAACCATTTTGAACACATCTGCATCATGCTTTTTATCCAAAAAAGATGGTGGTGGTTTGGTTTTGTTTTGTGCATTGGGAAGGTGTAAGATTAAGTATGATGTTATGGATGCAAAACGATTAATGCAATTAAAATTTCTGAACATACTTCAGGCACAAAGCTTCAGGTATACAGATGTAGATATAAGAAGGTCAGTTTTTACAGTTAAGCTTGCCAGAGTCTCATTTTTCCAGTACAACTGTGTTGTATTATGGCATTTTTTTGAAAAAGTAAAAACAAAAAATAAAGTGGGGAATCTTGCATACTGAGCTGCCATCACTCGGAAATGAGCTAAAGAGCAAGCTGTCTGTGATCACCCAGTTACTAAGAAAAATATCTGTTCTGATGGCTCATGTAATAAACGTAATCACATAATGGCTGTGAATAAAGTGTTCACACTACAGCACTCCAAAATAATGGCTTAAATATAGCTCTGCCTTTATTACTAGTGCTGTCATAAGACTTTTGTCTCCAGATATGCATGAATACACTTAATTTTGTTGTATTCTTGAGAACCTATTCAACAGTGTAAAGCAGCAGGTATTACAGTGTGGCATGGGTCTGTCTTTTTTTTTTTTTTTAGGATTATTTTGCAGCAGCACTGAGCAGTATATCATAAAAAATGCTTTTTATACCAATCTGTCAGTTGAATTCTGAAGTTCTAAATGGTTAAAAGTTTGGTTATAATGGTTAAAGGGGGCTTTATTTGATTTTGGTGGGTTTTTTTGGTGGAGGGGGACTTTTGGCAAATTACTTTTTTTTTTTTTTTCTTTTTGCTTCCAATTTGAAAACTGGAATCTGGATCTATTACATTAATTCTTCTATTCTGATTGATAAACAGCAACAAAATTGGGTTAAAAAAAATCTGTCCACATAGTTGTGGAAAGCACATTTACTGAAGAAGGTAAGCAGGCTAAAATCTATTATGCCCTCACTCAGTATATTTTTACCAGTGGAAATAGCTTCCCCAGTTTAATTGCTTTTGTGTATTGGTGGGGGTGGGGCAAGACAGGGTGGGCCAGCTGGATAGATTAGTTAACTGAGCTTTTTCTGCTAAAAATTTGTTTAAAAAAAAAAAAAAAAATTAAAAATAAATACAATATGCAGGGAAGCTCATATGATGAATATCAGCAAAGGGCGCGATTCTGTTCCCAGTGAAGCCAGTTGGAGTATTCCACTCATTTTAGCAGAAGCGGATTCAGTCCATTCTAGTGTCCTCTTCAAGTGCTGACTGAGGGTAAAAAGCACGGTTCGGTGACCAAGCGATCTAACAGAGGGCACAGCTTGTCCGCTAGGCTAGGGATTCGGATAAGTATGCTGGTCTTCAGAAGGAGGAGGATGAAGTAAATCATACTTGACAGAATAACAAAGAATTTGGCCTGCATGCATCTCCCTGACTTCCTGCTATGTGGTTGCTGTCTTTTCATTCTGATGTCTCCTTCTGAAATACTTGGCTGTGTCTTTGGTTAATTGTATAAGTGCTGGTATGGCTCTTAACACATGGGATCCATTAGTTTTCAAGGCCTTCTCAGTTTGGTTCTCAGTCAGGAAGGTGCTAACTCCAGCTTATTGTGAATTGAAGGATCTTAGCAGCTCAAGGGATCATTAGTTTCACTTCTGCTCTAGACAGATAATTGCTTTTTCACTCATCAACATCTAGTTTTATTTGCTTTTACTTTCTGTCACACTGATCCCATGTTGATGGCTCTGCTCTGGTGGTTTTGTTTCTTGACAGATTATTTTTTATAGAACAATCACTTCTGTTTAGTTTCGCTTGAAACTTATCAGTTTCTCCTTTCCTGGCTTAGAGGTACTCAGCTATTATTGCTCTTTGCTCTGTTTTTGAGGTACTCTACCAGCATCTTCATGCCAAGTGGGTAGACGCATACAACATGATACCTTTTAAAATGAGTGGCAATAACGATGTAACAATGAGTATAGAAAACACTAATTTTGATGTGTGCACACGGGAGGAAGCACAATTTGATGTTATTTCACTTTAGCACTTGTTCAGTGCGACAGAACCAATATATAAAACACCTGTTTCCTGGCAGAGTTCACATTCAAAACTTTTCAAGATTGTTTTAAACGCAATCCTACTTTGCACTTGTTTCAATGATGAAACGTAGCTTTTGGTACTAATTACAAAGTGCACCTCACTCTACATTTGTCTGCTGCAATTAAGCCAAAGAGCAAGCCACATAATTGTAAAACGTTATCTGTTGTTCATTCTTCTAAATGGTACTGTATATGATTATAAAAAAGGCCTATGTCCAGTCCTAATGTGAATATCTCAAGCATTTAGTGATTGATTCGATGGCCTTGACAGTCAATGGAAAGATCTTCATTGGCTTCAACAGGCACTAGATTAGACTTTCAGGTGGTGGCAAGCTTTCAGTGAGTTCGACAGATCTGTCACTTATATGGAAGTTATTTTGGCCGTATGTTGTTTTCATATTTTTTTTTATATATTTGAATAAAAATAATTTAGGCTGGGATTTTTGAAGATGTTCACCTTTTCCTGAATGTTGATGGCGTTCATTTGATTCCTGTCCTTAGCATCTGGAAAATCCCAGGCCTCGTTCTTTTACTCTACTTGAAAACCACGCTTTCTTTGAGATTGTTTTCAAATGTAAAACTCTTGTTACTTTGTTGTGATAGAATGAATGTAAATTCCTGAGAGAATGTAGAAATGCTTTGTGAGCAGGCATCCAAGTGTGTCTACACTAACATTATGTTGTGGTCATGCTCTGAATGAAAATAAAGCCTGTATCATCCTTGAATATTTTAATAAAAAACACAACCTTACCGAATGTTTACAAACAGCTTACTGAAAAATAGAATCATTAGAAATATTGAAGTGCAAGATGCTTGTTTTTTCTTCTTTTTTTTTTTTGTAGATCACATTAGATATTTTTGAAATTCAGCAAATAATGTTTTGCAAAATCATTATATAATTTAACTCCCTGTTCACTTCTGATGTGCCCTGTGCTGAATTGTGTGTATCTGGCTATCTGCTGTTGTTATGCTGCTGATTCTGCTGTTCTAAACTGTTCACTGGATCATTCCATTTGCATGCTACACAATGCAAGCCAAGCTGTAGGAGAGTAAAGCTGAAACACATTTGTATAACTTGAATTGATTTGACTGTCTCTCCTTTCCGCACCCTCTTCTTGAAATCTTGTGTACAATTTTGATTAGTTTCTCGCACCATCGTTCCCCTCTCCTCCTCTTCTTCTCCCACTCCCATTTTTTTTAAGGTAATTTATTTTGTTTGGATTATAGGCAGTATCTGTACATTTTGTTCTGAGGTGATATTGTGGATGTCTTTAAAGAAATAAATTGTTATTTTATATAATTTTATCATAAAGTTGCTCTAATAAATCATCCTTTTATCATGTGACAAATATGATTCTGGGTTTTTTTCATATGAACTCTGTGAGAGAGTTTAGTTCTCCAAACATTTTTCTATTAATCTTCTGCTGTAACAAGAAAGATCATAATGCAATTAGATTCATACCTGTTGATCTCATAAAGCCTAGTTTAATAGCACAGGGTTTCCTACAGGGATACTCAGTTGCAGGGACAGCGACCTGAAAAAAAAAAAAAGGACTCTCTTGTACTTAAACCTTTTTTAAATCTAAATATTTGGGTTCACACTGAAGGTTGGAGTATCTGATTCATCGTTTATAACTAACAATGGCATATTTAGGGTTTAAGTCCCACCTGATTTGACATGCCTCACTATTTAACTATCATTTCTTTTCATACTCAAATTCTTTAGTCTTCTCTTGGAGTCCTGAGTGTTGTTTCCTCCTCTGCAGTCTCTCTAAGGAGCTCCAGAAGTTTACACTGCGCACATCGTTACAGAAGTGGAACTCTGTTCCGGGTTCCTCTGCTTCGTCCACTTTGTAACCAAACAGCCTAAGGCAGCGTGCAAAGCTGATGAAACTGGTAGTAGATAGTCCTATTGTTGAATCTAAATACTGCAAAGAAGTCAATCATTTTTGTGTTCAGTTTTTCACAGCCTGATAGAAAGCCCAGCTGAAATCCACCAAAGATCTTTCCATTGATCCCAGTGGCCTTTGTACTGTGCCCTTGAAAAGTAGAAATTTGATGTTTAGAGCCCTAGACCATAAGATTAGCTTTTCCTATTAGTAATGGGGGTGGGTTTTCATTTTCCTTATGTTTGCAGCATTTTTAAAAATGATTTCATAGGTTCTTTTGGAGCAATGCATCTAACACATTTACAGACACAGCCCCCACAGTCTCTAAAATGCAGCACTGATTTTTATCTTTCCTGTGTTGTCTCTGCACCTTTATACAATAGGCCTGCTGCTCTTCACTACATATCAGTTGACCCTTTATAACCCTTTTGTCTGTCCTTTCCTGTCTCGCAAGCAATGAAGCTAAGTGGTAGGAACTCAATTCTGCTCCATTTTTGGGTAAACTGCCTTAGTTTCATTTCTACTTACCATAGAATAGAATCAGACAAATGAAAGCAAAACTGTGGAACTCTTTCCGCTTACAATGATATGAATGTTTTTTTGTCTCTGTCCATGCCCACTAGACAATAATTGTACATGTTAAAGTGCAAAGAGCCCTTTCAAACCAACTGTGCAAGCATCTCATTTATTTTTTTAATTGGCTGAGTAAAAATAATAATATTTCAGGATTGTATGGCCTGCATAAGACATTTGTGTGCCTGATTCTTCATTCTCTTACAGGAGTAGCTCCATGACATTGGGAATTATTCTCATTGCCAAGGACTTCTGATTTGAGTCCTGACTTTCAAACTTAATTTCCTAAACTAAGCAGTGATGTCTGACTTTGAACTCACATTTTTTTTTTTACAGAAATGCAATTTACAAAAAGGCCTCATATTGCTTATATGGCGTCCTTCATATAATCGTAGAAAATTAGGTTTGGAAGGGACTTCCAGAAGTCATCTACCCATCCCCTGCTCAAAGCAGGACCATCCCCAACTAGATCATCCCAGCTAAGGCTTTGTCTACCCACGTCTTAAAAACTGCCGAGGGTGGAGGTTCCACAACCTCCCTGGGTAACCTATTCCAGTGCCTTACTATCCTCCTAGTGAGAGAGTTTTTTTCTAATATCTAACCTAAAATTCTTGTGCTGCAACTTAAGTTCATTGCTCCTTGTTCTGTCATCTGCCACCACTGAGAGAAGAGAGACATATCTGAAATGCTACTATATAAAGAAGATGGAGGAAAAGAAGGATGGAGGTAAAGAAACATTGTTTCCCTAGCCCCTAGGAGCAGGATGCATGGCAAAGAGTGAGTTATGGCAAAGCAGGTGAATCTCTGGGAAAGCTCCTGAACTGTTCGAGCAGTAGGGCAGTGAAACAAGCTACATGGGGAAATTATGGAGGCTTTCAAAGGGGCCTAGGCACCTACATAAGATAGTTTAAGAAAAGTGAGTCTGTGCAGGGGGGGTCACTGCTTCTAGAATATATTTAATGTAAAGCAAAAAGATGATGCCATGTGCAGCTACAGTACTTCCTTCCCTTTTACAAGCAGTACCTTTCTTGATATTAATTTGAAAAAAAAAATGTAGTTCTTGCCAAAGGAGCAATCGATCAGCAGGGCAGGGGTCAGCAGCGTATGGCCCATTGGCCGGATCTGGCCCACAGACCCAGTGGACTTTGGGGCTTCAGCAGCTTTTCAGCAGTGGGGGACTTCGGTGCAGTCCAGCAGCAGGTGGTTTTGCCCACACCACGGCCTGTGGCAGTGGCAGCAGCCAGCTCCTGCCCACTGCTAGAAAACATTGCTGACCATTGCTGTGAGCTGTTTGCTCTGGAATTCCCACCACCCCCCGCAATCCCCTATACACACCATGGCAGAAATAACAGCCAAATCATAAATCACTTTTGCGCTCAGGGGGGGATTTGCCCATGCCAGCTGGGCAGCCGCAAATGTAGCTGCCACTTTGCAAACCCGCTGCGGAAAAAGCTCTACAGGCCTAAAGTGCAGCTTTGTCTGTCCATGCTAGCACTGGTGCTGCTATATTTGGGGAGGCTGCTCACTCGATAAATTTAGAGTGAAATTTCTGGGGGGTTTTTCTCACGCCCTCTGCTAGCTGGCCTGACGGATGCTGCTTGGGGTTGCAATCAAATGCCATGTGTGTGCTTACAGGAAGTGAAAGAGTGATATTTTCCTGGGGAGGGGTTTAGGATGAGACCAGTTTGGTGATTCTCTGGCTCAAAAAGCATCCCCAAGCCAAGGAGGTAGCCTGGAACAAGTGCCTGTGCCTCCTAAAAACAAACCCAGGGGTACTGTAAAGTGGGAAGAAACATACTGGAGACTTCATTCATCACCTAGTGAGATGCACAAGTTTCTATCCTTGATAAATTGTGGGTGGCAGCTACTACACAAAGGACATCCTTTCCAATCATAGATGGGAACAGAACAGCAGCATGCTTCTTTTCTAAAGGATTAATAGTTAGCCCTGTTTGAATAATTGTTTTTAAATTTACTTTCTGATGAACCTGAAATGATCTGTTTTTGTTTTTTGTGTGTTTGTTTTCCAACCAAAGTGAAGCCAAAATTAATTATTTGAGGTTGAGCAAAATGTTTTGTTCAACCCTAAACTGCTTCAGTTACAATTTTATCATTCTTTTAGTTAATGGGTTGTTGTTTTTTTTTTTAAATCCAGGTAAATTTCCAAAATGGAACATGACCTTGAAATGAAGAAAAAAGTGTTTGTTGTTTGTTGGGGTTTTTTTTCCAACTGAAACAACTTCAGCAAGTTTGAAGTGATTTTTTTTGTAAATGTTTTGTTGATCTGCATATGCATTTTTTGGCAACACCACCACCAAAAAGAACCTTTTTTTGCCTCAAACTTTTCACTGTATTACTAATGTACATCTGGCCCCTGGTGCTTTTTGCCGCTTGTGGCTGTATTCA